ATAAAGTGGTCAGAAATGTCATTTTATGTAAGTTATAATAAAAACTGTAATAAATATGTACACCCAGGAGAGTTTATGTTCCATAAAATGTACCTGAATAATTGAAAGATAATTCAAAACAGAATAAAACAATTTTAAAAATAAACCCCACAGCCAAAACTCAGTTTCTTCCAGTTAACTGAAAATTAATCTCATGATTGATATTAGGATTGAGTCATTATTATGAGCCAACCAGATTCCAGATACCTGTTTATAGTTTAAGTCAACTTTATTTTGACTGGATATTCTCAGATTTCCCTAATTTCTTTTATATTGATTTTATTTTTTATTGATTTTGAGAACTCAAAAAAGGAGATATTTATATTAGGCCCAGATCCTTTTAGCAACATTTCCTTCACAACTGCTGGTAATAATGTATCATCTAAGTCAGTAAATATGTTAAAACTAACATAACACTGTTGGTAATATAAAAATAAAATTATTTTCCCTCACATTTAATTTTAAGATCCTGTATCTTAGTTAAGGACTAGACAGAATGTATCCTTAGGGAGACTGAGAGCAATCTTTAACTTCTTCACTTCAAAGTGAAAATCTGTCCTAATTTTAATAAGTTTGGCAGCATTTTTAAGAATTATTCAAAATGTCAGCTTTTATGAGTACAGGCTAAGTATATAAAACTAATGCTTTCTGCTTATTTTTTAAAATGAAACATACTTGGTTATAAAAAATCTCCCATCTGTTTTTCACACCTATGCTTGTATTTACATCATAGGAGATACCTGTAAAAAGTTGAGTCTTTGTCTTCTGAAGATATCCATGGTTAGGTAATTCTCAGGTGACTTATAACTTAATATATTGAAAAATTCTACAATTAATTTATAATTGCCACATTTACAAAGAAACTTCTGGGTAAAAGAATCTTTTAAAAACATTGTCTGGGGTTACATTTAGACCCAACGTTCATTTATTTAAATCACCTAAGACAACTGCAAAATTTTTTCAAATTAGGAAACTGCCGTTATTAATATGGCTTCATTCATTTGTATCTGTACCCTGTAAGTTATTTGTTATACACTTAAGTACAACTGGAACAATAAGATTACTTGTACAGATGACAGTGAAGACTTTTCTTTCACACTGAAATTTACTTATGATAATGCCTGAAAATGTTTTGGAAAAGACTATTAACAGTCGACTGTAATAGTTTATTGCATTTTTCTGTCCTTTTTTTCAACGTTAAATACCCAAGTTTGGAGTTTTAAGTTCTACTTTTCCTCTTATCTTCAAACAGACTCTTCAGCATATAAACCTGAATGGCTGACACCACCACCATTACTACTAAATTAACCACAGACCAGAAATTGACTCTATCAAAGTTGCTTTCTTGTATGTTTCGATCACGAGCTTCAAATGCTCTAAGCAAAGTTTGGATATGACCACTTTTGCTTAGTCTGGACTTGATACTGTTGATGGATTCCTGGAGATAAATAAAATAATTTTAG